CATATATCCTTCTTCCTTTTAACCTCTCTCTTCTCCTCTGTTTTTACTGTCTTTTTTTTTAAATGAAGCAGATATGTCCTCAGTACACACATAATGAAGATGTATGTACTGTGGTGTTTTGATTTTGGTGATTATGATCTTTTTATTTTCCTAAAAAATAACCTTTACTGGTGTCACATTTTGCTCAGACTCTATATCATGGAGAACAATAGACAAATATGAACATACTAGACTGATCTATTACAATCATTGAAAGAAGTAACCAAAAGCATAAATGACTACCAGCCCAGATGCTCCTGTTCAGCCTGTGCTCCATCACAGATACAGGAAAGCCATGAAAATATCTCCGCAGAGAGCCTCAGCTAACAGTAGGAAAAGTTGGTAGCTATTTCCTATTCAAGCAACAACCATCCCTATGGAGTCTATTTTGAAGAAGCTTATTCCAAAACTATGAGGGAAAAATAAGAAGTAACTCCTCAATGGAGACTTCAGAATCTTTTTTCTGACCAAAGTTCCATGCCCAGATAATGTACATATTTCTATACTACCCCCAGGAAGTTAGTGGGCGTATTATTGTGAATGCTGGCAATACCTTCACAGCACATAAAGCTCCTCTTTACAAAATTGGAAAGAAATACACGTTTGCTGTCTTACCTTTTTCACGTGACGAATAAGCCATACCTCCAAAACTTCATATGATGTTAACGAAGGTAGGAAACCTAAGAACAGAAACATTTTGATATTAAAAATATTAAAAACACGACCATAGAACCTGTCAAACACTAATCCTGGCCAACTTCTTTCTCTTAAATATCTCTTCATAAGTTTTGGAAATTGCCTGGAAATAAACACCTAGGAGAGTAAGAGAGCGTGAGGGAGCGTCGTATGCTGTTTGCTTTTCAACCGTAGCAGTAGTTTCCCCAACTGATACGAAGGGATTTATTCATTTGTCAGATTAGTACTTTTCTTAAAATACTTTTCTTCATTAAATATGAACCCAAGACACATCCATCATTTACCTTGCTTTCTTTTATATTGGTCATATATAAACTGGTTGGGAAAATAAAAAGTAAACATGAGATCCCTTGTATCAACATAAAACTAGGCCTAAAACCTGTTGTTACCTTTTTTTAGCCTGTCTATACAGTGGCTTACTCCCCCCCCAGACGCGTCCCCGCCAAAAAAAAAAATTATCGACATGTACATCACAAAGCCAGATATCATGTTTCAGTCAGGAGTTTTTTTTGCATATATAGATGATGTATTACTGAAAATCAAAATCCATGTATACACATACAAGCAAATTAACACAAACGTTTGTTGAGTTATCTCAACAAACTATAACCTTTTCAGTTAAAAAAAAGTTTTTAGAAAGAACAGAACATTAACAGTGACGGGAAATTCATAATAGCTAAATATAAAATAAGCTTTGTCTTTGAAACTAATTCTTGTACATTTCTTTTTGAACTAAAAAATAGCTAGCCAACGGTTTCCATTCACAGCAACATGTAATCAGGGTTGATATAGTCTATGCACAAAATATATGTGGATATTCCTTTACCTAATCTTCTTAAAATCTGAGACATGGCTTTCCTGAAATAAAGTAAGATTTTATGTATCGTAGAGCCTAACACTTAATACATTAGTACATTCTAGTCATAATACTATTATTGAGAAATCTAAAAGACAACCTTATCGGATATTTCCCATATCTCATATTTACAGGACATTTTTAGACATGCATTTCAAGAACTATGTACTAACAAGATAAACGATACTAAAGTAGTATGGAATTTTTGGAGCTTGAGTCTCTAGGATACGTGAAAGAAGACTATTTATTTAAAAGACACCTATCCAATTGAAATGAAAATGTTGTCAAATTTATATCATTAGTAAGCATAAGAGAAATCTGAAAAGAAACGCTCCCTGTCTTTCCTGTCTTTATCTGTGATTAATTTTGTCCAGTTTTAAAGAATGGTTAACTTCATTCTTCTAACACATTTTGGTTTTCCTAGTTGTTCATTTTCCTTTAGGTTGTTGACATTTAGGGCAATTTGTCTATAACCTCACTCACAGAAGATTCCAGAACCAATCCCTGCTTGAATTTCTGTTAATAAGAGGCAGAAGGCTGTGTGAACAAGTATAAAAACAGGTACACATTTGAGGGAGCGGAGTCAATATATTTAATAGTTGAGATTTCTATAAATGTCCTGATGAAAAGTGATACGCAAAGTCATTGGCTCAGATAGTCCCTCTAAGTTTGAATTAATCTAAGTTTGAATTAATCTGATTTATTTAACCAAGTTATTATAATAGGCATTTCTCTTTGATCAGTCTTCTATTTTTCAGCCATTCGTTCATTCATTAATTCAACAAATATTTATCAAAGTGCCTAGTGTGATTATGTGCTACAGAAAAGGCAAGGATATTTACAGTGGGGGATTGTGAGCCCAATGGGTATGATGAACATGTATGAAGCAAAAGACACTAATCACATCCAACCAGCTCCAATTCAGCTCAACGTTAGAATCCAGCAATAATAGTACAGATGGCGTAAAGTACATCTGTGTGTATCTGTATGTGTACACACACCTATGTATATATATTTATCTATCTGTACAAACACTACATATGTATACACACTCTCTATGTAATATATAATATATGTATAATGCATATAAATTCTAACAAGTGTATTTGTGTTATCTTTAAAATAGAACAATTGTATCTTGAAGTGGTAAATGCAAAGAACTGGTTTTTATTGTTGATCTGTGGATTTAATGATTTTTTAGGTGAAAAGGATGTTTAAGTGTACAATTTCTTTTCTTAATTTAATATATTTATGTAAATGCATGCCTGAAATTTGGTTAGATTGACTGTGTTTTGTGTCCTTTAACATGATCAAATGTATTAAACTTTATCTTATGACCCGATATACATGTGCTATTTTAAAATTCTTTTTTATTTTAGTATTTTAAAAAAGTTTTCCCTAAATATGCATACTCATTATATGAACAGTAATTTTTAAATATTTTATACCCAAACTACTTCTTCAAAATAGTCTTGCCTTTTGTCTTTTGTCATGTTCTAATTTTAAAATTTTATTCCCCAAAATATATGCCAATGGTAATGGTCAGTTGCATTGTTTAAATATACCAGGCAGCCATAGCATGTTATATTGACTTCAATTTATTCTAAGTTGTAAATGACTTAAATCTTATCCTTTAAAGTAAGTAAGAATTAATAAGTGAAGAATGTCAAAGAGCAGTTGAGAATACTGAGCTCCCAAACCGATGGGCAGAAGCACGTAGAAGGGGAGAGGCATGAGAAAAGGTGGTTGCAGATACCCTCAAACTTTGTTGACCTTGCCATTTTGTTTCCAGTTAACCCTCTCAAGAGTATTTATATAAGGTGAGAGATGCTATTTTGAACATGAGTATTAAATCTGCCAATATTCTTTAGAAGAGCAAAATGCTTTCATCTAGGTCTCCTTTCTTCTTCCTGAATAAATACATCCCTTTGACTCATTGAGGAGGAAAGCTGTTCCACTATATGAGATGTTTATTTCTAAGAGAATAAAATGTGTTACAAGCTTATTCACAGACAGAGTACCTTAGCTCAGGTTACTCTCCAGAGGTTTTAAGTTAGGCAAAACGACAACATAAAAAGTGTCCTTTAGCTCATTCCACAGAGGACCAGGAAGCACAGAGTTCTCTCTCCCTTAGGCACCTCCCTCCCAGTTCTTAGAATCTGTCCCAGTGGTTTAGTCCTTAGTCACCCTCTTTCTTTCCTGTGCAAGTCTGGTCTCTCCAACCAGATTACCAATCTCCCGAGAGCATATCTCCTACTTTCAGAATCCCTGACAGACCTAGAGCAGCTCCTGAATACTTGCCGTAAAGAAAATGATAGTAATAATATGTACATAACAGTTTAGAGATGGAAGTGAGTTCTTGCTGTTGCTAATCTGGGTTCGTTCACTGTCCCTTGATTGGCTTCTCAGCTCTGCTGTTGCCAGTGTGACTAACTCCCTGCATTAAATTCCCTTTGTCGTAAACACTCGAAGTGGTTTCTGTTTTCTTTTTTTTGACTAATTGACATTATATACATGCATATATATATGTATACACACACACACACACACACACACACACACACACACATTTAAGACAGAGATGAGAAGAGAGATAACATGGTAGAATTACAAAGGGACGTGATGAGATTGTCCTCAGGAGAGCACATTAGGAAATCAGTGCCTTGAATCCAAGTGTGATCACAGCAAGATGTAGTAAGAGGGATCCTACCTCCAAACCTGATATGTGACCCTTAAATGATTTAGGCAGCTACCAGCTGAAAAGGCCATTATTCCCACAGCTGTCACTAAGGATTTACATAGCTCACATTTGCACTATTAAAACTATCAGCTTCAAGTTTGTCCAGGAGGCTGACAGCTAATGTGAAAGATAGTACTATGAACTTGCTTCTTTACACTCACTTTTTTAAAAGCATTTTTTAGACAAATATATCATTTCCAAAGGAAGTACAACTTAAAATAGCCGCCATGCTTAGTCTCTGATCAGAAAAAAATATATACAGTTTTTTCTATTTGGAGTTCCAAAGCAGTCTCTCTGAAGATTAAATCCTACCATCATTCAAAGAAATGAAAAGATAAAAGGAAGAAAAACAACTTGGATGAAATATTTCTTCTGCATTTTCATAACTTGATTTGTCTGATTTCTATATAATATTTTCTATGATTAAAACAAACAAACAATGTAAAAGGGGGAGAGGAGGGGTCAGGAGAGGGAGGGGAGCGCCTGGGTAGCTCCTGACCACAAAGCTCATTCTTGGGACTACGCCCGCGTCGGAAACGACTTGAGCTCATTCTTGCAGTTTAATAAGATGTTGTCAGATCGCTATGACATATTTACGGCCTTATCATTAAAACTACTTGATGAAAAATCTATGTACTTCACGTAAAACAATTTAGATTATCGTAGACACTGTTGTGATCTATAGCTACCAAAAGTCACACACGCCAGGTGTGCTGGCAGGAACCCTGCGCCAGGGCTGTGAGATGTGGGTCTTGGCCATGTGTCTCCCCGAGTAATTAACGGGGTGGTATTGGGTATTGCTTCACTATACTGGGACTCAGTGTCCTTATGGAGAAAATGAGACTGAGGTTCCTTCCAGCTGTAACAGGGATTGTTATTAGATATCACTAATCCCAGGATCCATGTGGATTACAGATTTGAAATTGCAAATCTCAGACAGGAGTCCATTAACTACTCCTTTTCATTAACTTGTGGTGGCTAAATAATTAGAAAAGACACTCTTACTCATTCTTTTGCTTCTCCTATCCCAGTATGGTTCATTCTTGAACCTTTCAATGTCTTCTACAGCTCTCACTAAATTTCTAAAACACTATCTGATCTATCATCATTTTTCTTTGTGCTGAAGAAATACACTGTTACAAGGATGTTGCCACTCCCTCCAGGGTCCTTAATGTCTAGTTTTACAACTGTCAGAAATATAACTATCTTTTCCAAGAACTGTGTCCCCAAGAGGACTGCTGGAAGCACACTTGACTTGACAGATAGATACCATGTTCTGGGAAGATACAGGGCATAAACGCCTGGAAGTCATCATCTAAAAGGCAGACAATTCATGATACCGGAGAAGTGTAAACCTGTGTCTGCTGGGGCTGCCCTAACAATACCGA